CCAGGGTTCCAGACCTGCCCAGTCCTTGCTCACCCCATGTCCATCCACCCATCACCGCGGGAGCCACACGTGCAAAGCTGCGCCTCTCCGCCACTCTCTCTTGTTTGCCAGCAGCACGCACATCCCCGGAGCATGGACATCGACAGCGCTGCCTGGTCCCGCTGGTGGTAACACTCAGTTTTCCTCTCTGYCTCCCTCTCTCTCTCTCCCCACCCCCCAATTCCTTTCCATTTTCCTTCCTCCTTTTCCAGCTCTCTTTATTGGGGCAATTACTTATTTTTGCTTTTCATTACCAATAAACGGTTAGCAGATACAAAGTTTGTCTCGGTTGACTTAATTTCATTCCTGACCATCTAATTCTAAAAGAACTCCTCACAGTTCCACGCAATGGAACATGATGTGTGAACAAGAAGCATTATGCCATACAAGCAAGCAAAAACACAGTTTCTTGAAAAGCAGTTAATTACAGCAATTACATCTGGAATGATGTGAAGAATAAATACCCAGAAAAGGGAAGTCATCACAGAGACAATATTAAGAAATTCTAAGAACACAAAAAGGACTTTGGGAACCCCCTAAAAGCAATAATTGGAATTTTCCCTTCTGTTTCTCAAGGCAACATTAAATTCTAGGGAACTGAATCTTTGACAGGTCTTCAKAAGCACTAGCTTACATTTGGTAGGGCCTGTGCTGTGCAATGAGGATCAGCAACAGCAAAAAGTCAGAAAGAAGGTGGACATCTGTCAAATCCTTAATGCTGAAAATTTTCTGAACCAGAAAAAGGACATTTCTATCCCAAAATTATGTCAAAGTATGACAATCTGAAAAAAAGGAAGGAAAGCATCATTTCTGCTGAGCCACCCTTCCCCTACCACACACACTAAATTTTGGCTTTTGGCAGACCATGCTACTATTTGTTGTGAAAGACARGGAAAAAAGGAACCTACTGAGAGAAAAGCAGTCCTACTTCATCCAATCATTTACAAGTTTAAAGCTTTACAGAGACCTTGAAAATACTACAGAATATATTTCATGTCAGGAGTCAAAGAAATAATAAATGCTCATGTAAAAATGGACTTTGCAGATACATAAAATGACAAAAAATCTTTACCATTCCTTCAGCAAAGCAAAGTAATCCATAGAACTATTACTTCTTCCAAGTGCAAAGCCAGTTTGGCACATTTGCTTTAGGCAGATGCAAGTTGTGGCAAGAAGAAAAATAACAAAAAAAAACATGCACTGCCAAGTGATAGCATGAAGTTTTCAAAGGCACCTGGAGATAAAAGATCACCTACCACAACACCCAGCAGTACATGGGACAGACTCAGGAATACCTTAGTACCAAAGGAGCAAAGTGACTATGAAGGAACAACAGCATGTCATCAGAGATGCTCAGACAGCTGYGTAAAGCCAGGCAGGAGAGTACAGTCCTTTTTCTATGAAGCCTGACCAAAGGAACAAAGAAAAACAGAGCATCCTGYGCCCAGTGCAGTGAGGACAATTGTACACACTCAAGTGGTTTGCCCGTGCCAGCATCACAGCACACCACTGCAACAGAAGGCCCATCACAACCCCAACCAGCAATGTTCAGTACTCAGCTGGAGAAGAAACTTGGCCATCAAGCACAAGAAGGCAGTTACTAAATAAAAATTAATTTTAAATCCGGGACATTATAAAAGAATGCTTTGATCTGGACTCATGTAGTGCAAATACACTCCTTTTAGGCTGTTTTTACGTTCTCTCTTGGACATAAAAATAACATGTAGACACACACAAGAATAATGCAAATAACAACCCACCACTAAGGTCTGCCCTCATCACAAATGAGAGCACTATGGCCGGATCCCACATAGAAGATCCAGCTGTGTATATTAAAAATAACCCTGAAGCGCTTCCAAGTTGCTGATACTGACAGTAAGAGTCAAATAAATCATGTAGACATTCATTATGTAGGCATCCATAAGTAGCAAAGACAATGTCAATAATCTTTTCACTCCACAGGGACCACATTACACATTGATAYAGTTACATCAAGATCTCTTTATCTTTTTCTTGACTCATGGAAGATTTGAGTACAGATATGCATCAACACAGCATCTTCAATCATACCCTCAGACTGCGAGGTGAAAAGAAGGGCACAGCCAATGTTAGTTCAAACAGTGGTGCTCTCAAAGTCAACTTCCAGAATTAGAAGACTTTACACACATGGGCAGAAAAAAAGGCAAGAACTGTAACTTACAGTGTTACACTACCAAAAAGGACATATGTTCAAGAAGCTGCATTACATCACTGCATTAGTGCCACCTCACCCTGCGTCCTGTGTGCAGATTTGGGCACCGCAATACAAGAAAGATTTAAATCTGTTAGAGAGCACCAAAGGGGGGCCACAAAGRTGGTGAACAGTCTAGAGGAGAAGCYGTRTGAGGAGTGGCTGAGGTCACTTGKTCTGTTCAGCCCAGAGAARAAGAGACTGAGGGGAGACCTCATTGCAGTCTGCAGCTTCCTCACGAGGRGAAGTGGAGGCACAAGTACCAACCTCTGTTCTTTGGTGATTAGCAATAGGACCCAAAGGAACAGCAAGAAGCTGTGTCAGGAGGGATTTAGGTTGGATATTAGGAAAAGGTTCTTCACCCAGAGGCTGGCCAGCCACTGGAACAGGYTCCCYAGGGAARTGGTCACAGCACCAACCTGACAGAGCTCAAGAAGCATTTAGACAATGCTCTATGACACATGGTGGAATTCTCGGGGGTGTCCTCTGAAGGGCCTGGAGCTGAATTCCATGATCTKTGTGCCTCTCTTCTAGCTCAGGACACTCTTATGATTCTATGATATGCACATGAGTAAACTTTGTCTGTGTCACTGTGGRGCTATAAAAATTTGCATGAAGGCATCTTACCAACCTCAAGAGAATGCTTATACAAATCCTTCCCTCAGCTACTTAAGTATAATCACTCAGCTTGCTGCYATAGGTGTATCAAAGGCAGACTAGCCTGCTATTTGCTAAGGGCAACATGAATTCCACCGGCTATCAAGAGAAAAGAAATTCATTCACACCAGCTACATTCCCAACAGCAATTTTGAGGACAGTCCAGCAACACAGCACATATGACAAAGGCTCAGACAACCATTTAATACAGAAATCTRAACAGTCAGATGTGAGAGATGCTCAAAGAATGCACTTTCTTGTAGTTCAACTTCTCTCATGTTTACAATTTAAATTTAGTTTCTGTTCACCACCACATGACTCATTAAAATGATTGGTAGAGACACCATTCCTGACCACACTCAATACTGTACCACACATATGCTATTACTGAAAGGCAGACCTTCTGGAAGGCCAACACATCACAGGTGAATAATAAGGCATGTCCACCCACTATAATAACAAGCAAATACATTTTGCTGTACACAAGCAACTCTTCTCTTTGGTGCTGCATATCCTATGCCTTGACGAGGATTGAGATTGGTCTAACACAACAACATAAATKAAAACAAATAAAAAAATGTGCCATCAGTCCTTGATCCTCACAGTGGGACAGGATTGTACAC